TCGGCACGATGTTTGAACCCAGCAAGGCAGCCCAGATTGCAAAAGAGATGAGAGGGTATCACACTGAAGTGCTTGGGATTTGCGAAAGCAGATGGAATGGAAGTGGACTCTCCTAACTGTCAAGTGGAGAATCAATAATCTACTCCGAAACTGTCACCCAGACGACAACCACGAGCACACTGAGTTTTCCAGTGGCTATCATGATGTCCCCAACAGCATCGAAGGCTCTCTCTCATGCAGTGGGAACCAATCTCCTCCAGGATCATGACAGCAAGATTCAACTCGAAGGGAAGGAAGGTCACAATCATACAATGCCATGCACCTACAAATAATGAAGAGCAAGAGAAAAAGGAGGAATTCCACAGACAACTTCAATCAACACTGGACAAGACGCCAGTTTGTGATATCAAAATTCTAATGGGCGACATGAATGCCAAACTGGGAGGTGACAACACAGGAAGAGAACTAACTATGGGTCGAGAAGCGCTAGGTGAGGTGATGAACGAGAATGGAGAATTGTTTGCAGAATTCTGTGCATTCAACGATTTGGTGATTGGAGGCAGTGTGTTCAAGCACAAAGATATCCACAAAGTGACATGGATTTCACCAAATGCCAGGACACACTAAAAATCAAATCGACTTCATCTCAATCTCAAGAAAATGGAGACGCAATCTACTTGACACAAGGGCAAGAAGAGGAGCGGATGTAGGTTCAGACCACTTACTGTCTAGTGCAAGGAACCTTCCAAATCAAGTTGTTAGTCTTCGAGGAAGCTGGTGATAGACCTCAATTCAAGTACAACACTCGGAAACTGAAGGATGAAACTACAAAGGAGATCTTCACATCAGCCATCAAGACAAAATGGGAGACATCGAGCAACATCCCTGAAGAAACCTGTGAGCAAAAACACTGGAAGTCTTTGAAAGCTATGTGGAAAGAAACCTGCACAGCCGTATTAGGAAGGAAGAAGTTGGAAGATAAGGAATGGATCTCAATGGATACATGGAAGCTGATAGAGTAGGGAGAGGAGGATGGTGAAGCGGAAGATAAACCAGTGCATGGATGCTCAACGACAAGAGGAACTGAGTACAATGTACAAAACACTGGATAAAGAAGTGAAGAAGAGTGCTCGCAAAGACAAAAGACACTTCTACGAAACACTAGCAAGTGAAGCAGAACAGGCTGCAGGTAAGAGAGACAGAGACCTGACAACATTGTATCAAATAACCAGGTTGCTCACTGTCTGGGAAGAAATCAACGCAGACGGAACCTATAAAAGATGAAGAAGGAAATTTAATTACGAAGGAAGAGAAACAGAGGAAACAATGGGCCAACCACTTCAGGAAGCTCTTGAATCGACCACCATCTGCACTTCGTCCAGAAATACCACCTGCAGCCGCTGAATTACAAGTGAACATAAATCCTCCGACGAAAATGGAAGTCCTGAGAGCCATAAAGCTACTGAAATGCGGGAAAGCAGCAGGACCAGATGGAATCCCACCAGAAGCACTGAGAACAGACGCAGAGACGACAGCAGCGGACGTACTCACACCACTATTGCAGAAGGTGTGGAGGGAAGGGAAGGTGTCTGGCCATTGATTGGAAGAAGGGTTACCTTGTCAAACTCCCGAAGAAGGGAGACCTCAGTGTTTGCAAGAACTGGCGCAGAATCACTACCCTATCCACCCTAAGTAAAATATTAAGCCGCATCATCCTGGAGAGGCTTAAAGATGCACTGGATTCAAAACTACCACCGGAACAGGCAGGCTTCAGGAAGTTCAAATCATGTGCCGACCAAACTGCAACGCTTCGCATCATCATAGAACAGAGTATAGAATCGTAGTCAACTCTACGCCTCAACTTTATCGATTTTGAGAAGGCCTTTGACAGTGTCGACCGAGAAGTAATTTGGAAACTGCTTCACTACTGCGGAGTATCGCAAACCTTTATCAGCCTCATTCAACAACTATATGAAGATGCCACATGCCAAGTGATTCACAATGGGAAACTCAGTGATGATTTTGAAGTGAAGACAGGAGTGAAACAAGGTTGTCTACTATCCCCCATGATATTCCTGATTGTGGTGGACTGGATCATGCAGCAAACAGTAGGCAGCGAGAAGAGGGGGATACGCTGGACTGCGGAAAAAGAACCTAGAAGATTTGGATTTCGTCGATGACCTGTGCCTGATGTCACATAAACTTGAAGATCTACAGGCAAAAACTAACAAGCTGATAGAAGAGGCAGCGAGGGAAGACGGGACTTCAGGTGAATATAGAGAAGACAGTGGTGATGAAGATACTGTACCAACAACTCCAACAACAACAACAAACTCCAATCACCGTCGACGGGAGAAACTTAAAGGAAGTAACCTCCTTCACCTATCTAGGAAGCACTGTCTTAACCACAGGCGGGACGGACGAGGACGTCAAAGTCAAAATCGGAAAAGCAAGACAGGCGTTCATTAGCCTGAAACCAGTGTGGAGATCTTCTGCACTCAGCATGCGGAACAAGATCCGGATTTTCAACACCAACGTCAAGTCAGTGCTTCTGTATGGCTCAAAGACTTGGTGCGTCACGAAAGGCATTTCCAATAAACTACAGACATTCATCAACAACTGCTTACGCTCGCTACTGAAGATCAGATGGCCAGAATAATAAGAATAAGCAACAAGGAACTCATTGTGGCTGTTAACGAACCGGCTAAGAACCTATCACGCAACAAATATGCAGAGGGAAGTGGGGGTGGATTGGGCATGCACTGAGAAGGCCGACTGAGGGCATCACGCGTCAGGCCGGTTGCTCGAGTGGAATCCCCATGGGAAGCGACGAGTCGGACGTCCGAGGTGAGGGTGACATGGAGGAGATCGTGCGAGGAGGAAATGAGAGCTTCTGGGCTGTCGTGGAACCAGGTTCAAAAGATGTCAGAGAACAGAGGTCACTGGAGGCGTGCTACTGAAGCCCTATGTTCCACTGGGAACCCAAGGGACTAATAATAATAATAATAATAATAATAATAATAATAATAATAATAATAATAATAATAGTGGGAATCCATGATAATGGAAGCTAGGGTTTGGTGCTCGTCTGGTGCTTCCGGCACTGATGTCCTTGTCGAATAATGTCCTTTTTTCTTAGGCTTCAGACATCATTGTGGAAGTGGTTCCTGTATCATGTATATATAGTCTGATATTGTCGCCCATGCGGCATCAATATCTTGTGCTATAAGGGGGATGTGTAGTTCCTTATATGTGTCCGACATCACGTGCTAGTCACTGTCTTCATCTGGAAGCTCTTATCATCTTGTTGGTTTGCCAGGTTTTAGAGACTGATACCAAAGTGAAGTCTCTATAGCACACTAAATTTCATCTACTCTTACACTGTATCTCCCAGAGTTGTTTCATGAGCGTTACAAAGTGGGGTTTGGTGACTTCAACCTACTTCTCGGTATAGCACCATTCCTTGAGGCGAACGAATTTGAATATTGAAGATACAAATTCACTAGATAGAAAGTAATGGAGTTCTTTTTGCACTGCTCTGATCAGGTGATTATTTTGCAGGAGGCTCAACCAATAAGCAGCGTGACGTCTTATTCGGTTCACGAATACATCGCCCCCTAAGTTTCATAGTAAATGGAAACGTATAGAAGGCAGTAAATCAGAAGACCAACATGTGTAAGCATTTGCGAAATTCATACAGATGCAATGGATTTCACCCCTTGTTTCTCCGTAACTGACTTGTGAGAAGTTCAGCTATAAACACTTACTGAAAAGGGCAAAGAACCTAAGTACAACACCGGCTACCAGTGTTTTTCCAAGTGGATGACCCCACAAACCCGGAATGATTTTATTGCAAATTTGTTGATTGACTATCCACGGTGAGGTGAGTTTCCCTGACGATCCACTAGAAGTTCTGAATGATATGCGAACTGCCTTGCAAGCTTTTCAGGGATGAAAACAGAGCACTTGGCAGACAGGTAACTATTCTACACGAATACTTTGTAGGCAAATTTTTTCACACAACGCTTGGTTTCACATAAAGAAATTCAAACGGTGCTGAACCTGATGGAGACCATTCTCTTCTGCATACCCTACGAAGAAAAGGATAATAGCAACGGGGCCACACAAAAAGTGGCTATTCTGGTATAATTTCGTACTTCAAAATTTCAGCCTTTTCCTTGGGAACTTAATATGTCAGCGAATAAAGCAGGTTGAATTAGGTGAACCAAGCAAAATGGTCATTTGACATAAGCAGGTACGAATCAGTCAACACGAAGCTGGAAAAGCTGTATAACGGTACGTAAAAAATATGTCAGGTCACGTTCAAAAGCATACAGTTTGCTGGTTCATGTCGAATTCATGGTAAACATCTTTTCGCCTACAATTTGGTGAGAGAAGTTTAGGCCTGCGTTGAGTCCCAAATAATGTGACCATTAAATTCCCTAGTGGTAGTGTCTGAGACAGTTCAACATTCAGCAGAAGCGAAGGAGATGTATAAATAACAAGATCATAGGTTGGCATACAGAATGGTGTTAGGAGGTGCTTACCCTCACAGTACGATACGTCCACAAAAGGTGCTACTATTTGAATGGGTTGGATATATAGATCATCAACTGATAACCAACATTCTGAACGTGCCTCAGCGACTGAACTTTGTTTTGAAACAAGAACGGGTGGTCTAGGCGCAAAGTCCAGGGTAGGATTCAAAGTATATGTAGTCCGAACTATGTATCTCTAGCTTCTTGTAAACTGAGTTTGACAAAAAGGATATGTTGAATAGAGCAGAAAACTTACCAATAAATGTAGGCAAACTAACTGACCCAAGATCTATGACAGGCGGAAAGTTGAACAATATGTTTTTTGAATAGCAAAGCAACATGTGCCAGTGACGGATGAAACCCTATGTAATAAGTTTACGCCTTAATTATTATCTTTTATAGCAAAAAATACAGATCTTTACTCCCAAATTACATGTTCGTTTTTATTTGTTTATTTGCTTCAATCACATCAACTCAAATTGAGCTAAAAGTTCAAAACTTTCAAACAGTCGTGTTGTGATTACGCGCAACAAAAATCTTTATATATTTTGTCATGATTACAATATAAGGAGTTTTTAAGTGAAGTTTAAGTGTCCCAAAAACTGTTTTAAATGTTACAAATACGATGGATTACTCGGAATCACATATTGGTTCATGAAGTAAAAAGTTATGGCTCAAATATGCGATGTATCTCAGGCTTCTGCTTGGTTACCGTTGGTTCGGGCATCTGCTATTGGATGGATACCTGTCACACAACATCCTCTCCCAAAAAACGTGTGCAAAAAGGATGACTCCAGTCGGGATGTTTTTGAAAAGAAGGCAGTTATCAATGTTAGTGGCCACAGATTTGAAGTTCTAACTAGCAGTTTGAATCGATATCCACACACCTTATTGGGGTCCAATGAACGTGACTATTTCTACGATGAAAAGAGTGGTGAATATTATTTTGATCGAGATCCTGAGATATTCCGACATATTCTTACTTATTATCGTTGTGGCCATCTCCATTATCCTAAAAAGGAGTGCGTTATCCAATATGAAGATGAGCTCGCTTATTTCCGAATAGCTTCAGAAGCTCTTGGTGATTGCTGTTATGAGGATTATCACGACAGTAAGCGCGAAAACTCTGAACGTTTGTTGGAAGAGCGGTCATCAACGAAGGAAAATGCCGAGGTACCAAAAGATTTCCGTAACAGACTATGGCAAGCCTTTGAAAATCCTGAGTTTTCTACAACTGCAATTGTAATATACTACGTAACTGGCTTTTTTATTGCTGTTTCTGTCTTTGCAAATATCACTGAGACTATACCATGTGGACCAGAACCTGGATTAAGTAGACAACGAGCTTGTGGAGACAGATACATAGGTGCTTTTTCATGTCTTGACACAGCTTGTGTTGTTATATTCACAATAGAATATTGTGCAAGAATGTATGCCGCTCCTAGTAGATGGAAATTTTTTATATCTGTAATGAGCATAATTGATGTCGTGGCTATATTACCTTTCTATATTGGCTTACTTATGCCAGATAATAAAGTGAGTCTACATCATTCATTTTATTGAGTTTCTCCAATGTCTTTTTTTCGCATCGCTGTTATTTGAGCCAAGATAATTTATAGCTGCCTAACAATATTGCATTTATATGGGTCTGTTGGGAAAACTTATGGGATTTACTTGATCTAACTGAAAACAATTAATTACAATCAGAGTTTTCAACTTTCGTAAAGTGATGCATATTTGGTATATTGTAGCTTACATTTTATTGTTTTGCTAGAAAGGAAGGACTACTTGACAGGTATTTCGTGATTGAATTAGATTCAAATTGTACCCCGTTAAGCTTTTAGTTTTGATGCATATTTATTTATGTTCATTTGTTTATAGAGGTAGGATAATAAAGAAAGTTAAACTATTTCGAGACGGTATGGAGCTGTAGTATAATTTTATACCAAAAGGTTATGTACAGTATCCACTAAATCATATTATTTGTCATCAAGAAATAGGTCTCGGTTTATGATCTTAGTGTCAATAGGATATTTATACTCTCCGAACTACTGCTGACTATGATAACTGTGTATTTTTTATATGGGTTTGAAAAGACAACTAAAGGATATATACATGAATACATTGTCTTTTGGTTAAATATTCAGCAACAAGCGGTTATCTGGTTGGTAAACATAAAATTTTAAAACAGTTTCAGAAAATTCATGCTATTCATATCCTATTACAAGGCATACATGTGTGAATTTGAATCTTAGTCCACAACTGATTACTTACTCCCACTACTGAGGAAAATATTGCAGAAGTTATCTTAAAAGTTGTTGAACGGACTGCTTCTAAGATTTGGGTCCCTTCAGATGATTTCAACCTTCTTCTGGGATGCCTCGCGATAATCTTGATTTGTTTTATCACATTGATACAAACGAATAAGCAATTTTTAAGTGGTACGAAATACAATGAAATATATACCTACTATTCAGCTTGGTTAAAAAGCGTGTGCATATATTTTGTACTGAGTATCGTAGTTGAAGAAGCTAAAGTACCTTTTGCATATATCTGTTGATGCTACTCTAGTTTTACGCATCTGGGGCATTATCCAGTTTATTTGAACAAACAAGTAAAGTTTCTTCATCAAAAGAGATGTAGTTCACACATGATAAAAGGTTGTTGCAGAAAAGCTATAAAATCCTAAAACAGATTTATTTTTAAAACCTATCCATCTCTGATGTAAGTTTATATGAAGACAAGCACTTGTTTATCATCATTTGTTTATGCAGGAGTGTTACAACTACATCTAGATTCTAGATTTAATATTATGAGAACATAACTTTGAAATGACTTGGAATGTATTTTAGGTGGAAAAAAGCAGCCGTATAAAAGCTTCCAAACATAAATTTATCACACGGTTGAAGTAGATTTGTCATCTTTCTTAGATGACATTTGTTAATGAACCATTTGAAACTTGACTTTCTAATGTTGTATTTTTACTGGTTGTATCTCAAGAACAAGTGTACCTTGAGTCAAAGTATTTCGAGTTTTCAAAAGCTTTCAAAGTTGTCCTAACTTTTCATTTTATTTATGAACTAATACTTTAGTACTAAAAGTTATTTGTCACAAACACAACACACGTCAAAAGTCTAAATAAAATTTTGTGAACGATTTATTGTGTGAGCGATTGATTTTTCGACAGAAATACTCAAGGTTTTATCATTAAGTCAAAATATTTAACCAACACTCATTAACAAAAAATTTAAATATAGTGTCAAGTGTTTTCTTAAACTAGTTACACAAGATAAATAAAAACATATTCCTCTTGTTAGTGTAAGGTGGTTAAAAGGTAATGGATACATACATAATAACGTATATAGAACTATGCTACCTCGTGTCTTTATATAAAGGCATGAAAATAACGTTTATATACTGACAGTAGTTAGTCCTTATTATTTTAATTGTTCAACTGGAACTACTTACTTACAGCTACCTCATCAAACTATAGCTTTTGTGCAGTAACAAGTCTGTTCGTCTCAGTTGATATCGAAGTATTTGAAAATAACTTTTATGTGAATCAGAAACTTTTTTTTAGTTTGTAAGTATTTTCAAAATCATTCATAAATACACCGTGAACAGTATGTATTAATATCATTAAACGCTATTTTAACTTCGAGACTTCTATTTTATTATTATGTAGACTTTTCATAGATGGTTGATCTTTGTTTGCTTACATTTTCATCTGTCTAAGGCTTCAAATGAAATAAATGATAGGAGATTACAAGCATTTTATTTTAAAAATACAGTTTACTTTGTAATTTTCTACTGATTAATATCTTTTGCATTGACCAAAATGTTTTTGTAAAGATCTTAAAGGCTTGAAACAAACCTTACTGCTAAGAGTGGTAAGTACATATTCATGTCTATACCTTTGATTCACTTACAGCCTTATGTTTGGCATTTGCTTGTTCATTGTCTATTTCTCTAAAAAAAAAACTGTTTTTGGGTTGGTTCTATAGATAGACGTTCTCAAGTAGTAATTATTTTACTTCACAAACGTTCCTTTTCAAGTCATCAAGATCTGTCATCATGATTTTAGCGCTATTTATTATATCCAGAAAGGATGTATGTTCTATGCTCATTCGATTATCAGATAGTAACTTTAAATATTTATAAAAATGGTGAAATTCCCCGTATATTTTAGAATCTTTCAAATCGATGACGAAAAATATCATCAAAGTGTAGTGCTACATGTAAAGCTGACAATGAAAAACATTCAATATAGTTTCTCTAGTGTTATCCACATTTAAAAGTTTGATTGGGCAGCCTCTACCTAAATCATCTTTAACTAATTTGTACTGTCTTCCAATGTAGTAATGCACAAGTCACGTTTTTCTATCATAGTTTGAGTAATATCCTTTGAATGCAAAACCTTTTGTTGTTTCAAGACATAAAAGCTTTAACAATGAAATCAGTAAGATACTTTAAATACCTACCTTTCTCTCTTGTGTCGAAATCATTAACTCAAAGGTTGTAGATGAAATGCAGGTTATCATCAAAAAAATGTTTTGCCTATTAAAATCTTAACTTTATGATTATATAAAAGTTGAAATTATGAAAATCTTAACAATTTTATAGGTAATTTCATATATGGATTAGACTTTTTCTTTATACTTCTTCATTTTGTTCAGCAAATGAAGCAGGCAATATAAATCATAGAAACTGAATTGTATTATAAAGTTTGTGCCTCACGATGATGTATATCAAAAAACTGCCATACTGTGACTAAAGTATAACTAGCAATCTCTGAGAAATGAATGATTATAAACCTACTTGTAATCTCTTTACATAAAACTATCTTCAAATGCAAGCAGTGTGATTTGAATTGTCACATGTTGATATTTTTCTTAATCTAGATATCTTTGAACAATAAATATGGTGTTATAGTTGTTACTTGAAGACGAACAGGCAGTGACCAATGTAACTCGATGGCCTAGTGGATAACGCTCTGGTGTTTGAACCAGTTGGCCACGTCTTCAAGTCTTAGTGGGGATGGCATCGATCACAGGGAAGGGGGCTTACCTGAATACCACTGACGAGTCTCAATAGGACCAAACGCTTGTCTTGGATTCCACTGCTACATACTACCCATCAGTAATATGTCTACTCCTCACTTTAAAGCACTACATGAATGTAATTCATCATTTGACTACAAATTTGATCATTTCAGTTTCACTAACACAAGTAACACGATAATTCATACCAAATGATTATTCAAAATAAACATACTTATGAGGGCAAAAGTCTCCCTGAATGAATAATCATGAAATCTGATTTCCTTTTCGCTCATGAAATCAATACAGCCTGTGAACAGTGTAATCAATCATCACAAACTCTTGATATCCATCAAACTAACAATTTCATTTCAGTAACTTTTCGATACTAAAAGAAGAGAATTGTTTTAGCAGACACAAGCCTTGATCTCACTTTATTCCTTCTCAACGACTGACTGTACATGTTAAACTGAGAGTAGTGGATACCTCGGAAGACAAGGAAAACAAAATTCAGGTGATAAACAACCACATCGTTGAACTAAAGCCAAGTTATCGAAGGATGAAACAACATTAGTTGTAATGGAATCCATGCAGTGTATAACGGTACTTCTCTCAGCTATCTATCATTAATATGCATCAATGTCTTTCACTTTGTCAGTAGAAATCTTTGTGCATGATTTGAGCACTTGATTTATGTTCAATCGCAAAATTTTATTCAAGTCTACGCAAGTCAAACCTGATATGTTACATTACAAAACTATGATTCTGAAGCATATAGATGATTTTGACTAGGAAATGACAACTCGTTTAGGCCAATACTGAATAATTCATCAGGCAGACGGATTCTAACTGCCCATCTCACTCCTTCGTATTCACTAACTGTCGATTAGACATAGCCAATAAATTCTCAATATCAATGTAACTGTTACATACAGCAAAGGAAGGCTTGAGGCCTTAAAGTCATCAGATGAATCATACCATTCAAAATCCTCTAGGTTTATTACTTAGGACCTTTATGCAAGATTATTACAGTTTATGTTACTGCATCAGAAGAAGTAAGGAATAGGTTTTGATTAGAATCAAATCTTTGTTATTGATTATTGTTGCGCAGTAACTCACTCTCTAGTGTCTTCAGAATCATATGCACCCTTTAAATTACATGTGCACCTCTCTTGTCAGCCCTAATATTCACTCACCATTTATCTAAAGCATTGCCACAATAATTTCAAGCTATCGAAAGCCCGAAAAGTGTATTAAAGGTTGCAACTCTTCTGATGTTATTTGTATAATCTCAACAACTTGAGAACTATACTCATCACATAAAAGTTCACCATCGTGACTCAGTGGGATGTTGGATAAAGCTTTGGCTTCTGAAGTGATGGGTACTGGGTTCAAGTCTTCTTGGGGACAACATCGGCCACTGAGATGTAGGTACATCCAGCTGACGAGTCTCAAACAAGACGAACCATGCGTCTTAGATTCCTCTGCTACCCACTG